ATTGGGTGGAGAAACTGTAACACTGAAAAAAGAAATAGGGGAGGAAAAGGAACTTACTGAGATGCTGCATCACGGTTTTGCATGGAAGTTTCAGGTCTCTGTCAGTCAGAAATCACATTTCCCCTTCTAGCTGCCTCTCAGGATCCCTGCCCAAGGTATTGAGTAGGGGGATTCATATACTGAACCCTGGAGGAATTTACAAATTCTGTCATCTTTTCAGTAGTTATTTGCTGAGTACCAGGTACTGTGTTAGGTACTAGAGATGGAAAGATGAATATGACAGACATGGCTCCTGCCCTCATAGTCCAGGAAAAGAAACAGCTATGAAATGCATCCTGTATTTTCTTCGTTCTAAAATGTCTTTTTCTTCTTAATTTTTCCAAAATCAGGACTTTTTTGCAATTGTGAATAAATGTGGTGGTGTCCCCACCCTTTTCCTGCCCAATTTGAAAATACATTTTATAGTTTATGGTGTCTTGAATCAGGAAAATACAGTGGCTTAACAAACAATCAGTCACAATAAGAAAAAATGTAGAATGCAGTGAGCTCTGTTTGAAGCAAATACTCATTTTCTCCTCCTTAGACTGTAGGCAGGTAGTACTGAAATGATTGTGTGCATAAGAATCCCATGAGGTGTTCACCAGATATGAAGGTGTTGGTACCTAGAGAGGTCTGGGATCAGATTGGGTGTGTGTATGTTGGGGGGGTAGTGCAAGTCCATCAAGCTTCCAAGCAGTTCTGATGCAAGTGGTCTGTGGTGGACCATACTTTGAGAAACTCTGCTGCAGACTATCAGCAAAAGTTTGTTTGCAGCCTGGCTGCATATTAGAATCACCTGGGGTTCTTTTAAAACAACTAACACTCAGGCCAAACCCCAGACTGATTAAATCAGAACAATGGAGGTGAGGCCCAGACAGCAGTTCAGTATTTTTGAAAGTTTTCTAGATGATGCCCAAGCATGTTCAAGTTTGACAATCACAGTTAATAGAGGGTTGAGGAAAGGAGCAATGCTTCCGAAACATCTATGGGCATATGAGTCACCTGGATTCTTACTAAAATGCAGACTCTGGTTCGGTTCAGCAGGTCTGGGGGAGGGAGCCTGGGATTCTGCATTTCTGTCAGGCTCCCAGAGGATGCTGATGCATGCCTGCTGCTGGTACTTAGACCACATTTTGAGGAGCTTGAGAAAACGCAGATAGTAAAAAAAATAGCCTACAGATGTTTTGTTTTCTTTTGTCTATAAGATCACCCTCTCTAATGGTTCCCGAATTCAAGTCTATGGACTGGACCAGCTGTATCAGAATTACTCAGGAACTTGATACAGAAAAAAGATGCAGATTGCTGGGCTCACTACTGGAGATTCTATCACTAATAATGATACTCGTACTACTATGTGCCAGACTTTTCATGGTCAGTATGCAGCTCACGTAATCCTCACTACAACTCTGTGAAATAGGTAGTACTGTTTTCTCTATGATTCAGATTAAAAAGCTGAGTCTTTCAAAGGGTTGACTACTTTGCCCTAGCCACTCATTTAGTAAGAGGCGAGTATTCTTGGTACGTTCTATTTGTAAAAGTTCTCTAGACACTGATGATGTTTTAGTCCTCTGTGGAAAAGGATATCTCAAATAAAGGTATCCTGTATTTCCTCAAATGGTGTCCATAGAATATGAACCTATTGGTATTAAATATGAATCTACCTATTTGCATTTAAGACTTGAAAAGGAATCTCTTCATTTTAGGAATAAGAAAATGTATGATCAAGAAGGCAGCAAATATTTTTAAAGAATTTCTTTGAAATGGTGCAATAATTATCTGTAAGATAATAGTAACATTCATTTTCAGGGACTTCCTGAGCGTAGGTGAAGACTATTTAATGGTGCTTCAAAAGGAAATAGAAAAAAGTTTGATATACCAGCACAGTGAAATGCCATTTAGCCACTACTCACAATAGTTGTGGAACAATATTTACTGGCGTGGAAGATAATTCACAATATGAGATATAAAACAGTATTTATAGCATAGTTCTATTTTGTTTAAAAGTTACAGTAACTAAAATGTATTTATGCAAAGAAGAAGGCTATGAATGGTTATGTACCAAGATGTTAATAGTAATTCTCTCTGTTTGGTGGGGTTATGGGTGTTCTTTCTTTTTTTTTCAGTCTGAATATTAGGTAAGCTCTTTCTTTGTAACTGACACTGTACCGAGTATTATGGAAAGAAATGGAAGTGTTGGGCTGATTTTACCTTTACAGAACTAATTGGATCTAGATTAAACAAAATTATGTCAGCCGTATTTTTATTTAATCCATGCTATACTTTATAAAGGAAATCTATGTGTTAATTTATGCTTCTCTGCTTGCTGTCGTCCCTCTCTTCCCCTGCTTCTCTTCTCCCATGAACTGATCATGGAGCAATGAGAAAAATACTCCCTGCTCTCTAGATGCTTATTGTCTTTTTTTAAAAATGAACTTTGAATTTTTGAATAATTTTAGATTAGCAGAAGTTAGTTGCAAAGTCAGCACAGAGAATTCCCACATACTTCACCTAGTTTCACTTTTCTCTAATGTTATCACCTTATATTACCATGATAAATTTGTCAAGACCAAGACACCATCATGAGTATATTATTATTAACTCAACTCTATGCTTTATTCAGACTTCACCAGTTTTTCCAGTAGCATCTTCTTTCTCTTCTAGGTTCCAATCCAGTAGATCTCATTTCATTCTGTTATCCTGTCCTTCGTCTCCTCTGGCCTGTAATAGTTTCTCAGATATTCTTTGTTTTTAATGACTTTGACAGTTTTGAGGAGTACTGGTTAGTTATTTTTGCAGAATGTCCCTTAATTTGAGTTTGTCTGGTGTTTTCTTGTAATTTGACAGGGATTATGGCTTTTGGGAAAGAATTGCACTAAGTGAAGTACCTTTGTCATCATGATATCCACATGACATCCTTGATAATGTTAAATTGGTCACCTGGTTAAGGTCATGTTTGCCAGGTTACTCCACTGTAAAGTTACTATTTTTTCTTTGGAGGCGAGTCACTAAGTCCAACCACCCTCAAGAAGGGAGAAGAATTAAGTTTTGCTCCTGAAGAGGGTAGTATCTACATAGATTGTTTGGAAACCTTTAAGAAAGGCTTGTTCCTAATTCAGTTCTTTACTTATATCAGTGTGGGCTCGTAGATATTTACTTTATACTTTGGGTTATAATTCAACACTATAGTATTTATTTTGTTACTCAGAATGCTTCAACCTTTGCCACTGAGAAATCTTTCAGTTGGCTCTGGTGTCCTTTTGGCCTGCCTCATCCTTTTGTTTTTGGAGTACCTCCTATTTTCTGGTATACAAGACGTTTTGGTTCATCTTGTATTTTGCCTGCCTGAGCCCTAGAATTAACCGTGTGTCCAAGGAACCCTCATTTCTTTTTCTTGAAAATGACATTGAGAAATCAAGATCTGGATGCTTATTGTCTTTGAGAGGAAGGGGATGGGCTGGGCATGGTGGCTCATGCCTGTAATCTCAGCATTTTGGGAGGCTGAGGCGAGAGGATTGCCTAGGCCTAGGGGTTCGAGACCAGCCTCAACAACCTTGTGAGATCTCATCTCTATAATAAATCAAAAAAATTAGCTGGACATGTTGGTGCATGCCTGTAGTTCCAACTGCTTGGAAGGCTGAAGCAGAAGGATTGCCTGAGCCCAGCAGGTTGAGGCTGCTGTGGCCATGAACATGCCACTGCACTCCAGCCTGAGAGACAGAGTGAGAATCCAACTCAAAAACAAACAAACAAACAAAAAAAAAAAACAAGAGGGAGACAGAAAAAGTGAAAAATGGGGAGGACATGGTAGCTCATGCCTGTAATCTCAGTACTTTAGTAGTCCAAGGCAGGAGGATCTCTTGAGGACAGGAGTTCAAGACCAGCCTGGGCAACATAGCAAGATCTTGTCTCTACAAAAAATAAAATAAATAGCTGGCCATGGTGACATGCACCTGTAGTCCCAGGTACTCAGGAGGCTGAGGCACGAGGATTGCTGGAGCCTAGGAATTCGAGACTGTAGTGAGCTAGGATTGCACTACTGCACTCCAGCCTTGGTTACAGAGGGAGAAGTGGTAAAAAAAAAAAAAAGGAAGAAAAAATGAAAAGTGGTATAAATAATGCTCAAAGAACCATAGAAATTGGGGAAGGCTTCACTGAAGAAATGGTATTTTAAATTGAATAGAGCTTTCCAGATAGAGGTCAGGGTTGGAGTGGGATGGGAAAGGGACAGGAGAAAATATATGTTAGCAAAAATCAAAGGTAACTGACTTTTTAATTTGATCTGACTGTAGACTTACAGTGGTAGGGGCCCTTCTTTGATATTCTTTTTTTAAAATCTGGGTCTCATTTTGTCGTTCAGGCTGAAGTGCAGTGGTACAATCACAGCTCACTGCAGCCTTGACCTCCCAGGCTCAAGCAATCCTCCCGCCTCAGCCTCTCGAGTAGTTGGTACTACAAACACCTGGCTAATTTTTTTATTTTGTGTAGAGACAATGTCTTACTTTGTTGCCTAGACTGGTCGCAAACTCCTGGGATCATGCAATCCTCCCACTTTGGCCTCTTTGGGGGGCTGGGATTACAGGCATGAGCTACTGCACCTGACTTTGATTTTCTCATTACATAGAAATTAGCTATTTTAACAGATTATATTTCTTAAGAGAGGATTTTCTATATATAAGTCCTGACTTCATTCCTTACCTTTCTTCCTTCTAAATATATCTAGCTCTTGCTCTCAGCCAGGCCCAATGCATGTACAGGGGGTGCAGAGAAAAAATTGACAGCTCTTTCCCTCAAAAGTTCTGTTGTCCAGTGTGAGATCTTTTCGCTTACCTGTAGCCTTTCACCAGATGTCTAACTTTTAATGTTTTGCAGAAAACATAAAAAAGCAAAGAAGTATTAGCAATGTCTGTATTGTGACTCTGACATGATACTTGACTCACTTAGAAAGTCTTTTCTGTTCACAGATAACAATTGGTGTATATGATCCCTGTAACTTAGCCCAGTACCCTGGATGGCCTTTGAGGAATTTTTTGGTCCTAGCAGCCCACAGATGGTATTTACAAGAGTGTGTGTGTGTCTGTCTGTCTATCTTTGTCTGTATGTGTTTGACAGTGTGTCTGCCTATGTCTGTATCTCTGTTTTCCCAAATGTATTATTTTCATTTCGGGCATGGAGACTAGATAGTAAATCAATAAGTCAGTCGTAATCCACTTTCCATACTGGTGAGCCAGTAAGCATGTCTGTGAGAGAGCTGTAGACTTACCACTTTGTGTTAAAGATATTTTAGCCTGTGGTAAGGTGGGTCACCAGAAGTTCTGACACTGAAATTCTATAGCCTTCCTTTTCAGCTGTCTGGGTTGCTTTCAGATAGGATTTTTCCTGTTACTATCGTCCTCTATTTTTTCTAACCCCAAAATAATTAAAACAGAGGGTATCTAAAAGGCCAATATACATTTGAAAAGATGCTCAACATCTTTAGTCATCAAGAAAATAAAATTAAAGCCATAATGAAATGCTACTACATGCCCACCAAAAGGACAACACAAAGGACCATACCAGTTGTTGCTGAAGATGTGGAGTGATTGGAACTCTTAAACGCTGCTGGAAAAATGTTTGGCAGTATCTAACATATTAAAAATATTTATGACTCAGTGACGTTACTTTCAAGTCACAGAAATGCATACACAGATACAAGAAAAACACATATACAAGAATGTTTACAGAATCATTGTTCTTAACCAAAAACTGGGAATAACCCACATGCCCTGCAATAAAGAAATGACTAATAAGTTGTAGTATATCCCTTACGAGGAAAACCATGTTGTAGAGAATGCGAATGAACTATTGATACATATATCATCATGGATGAATTTTAAAAACATAATGTTGAGAACCTAAAATAATACAATGTTGGACCTAAAAAATTACATCTATGATTCCACTTATGTAAAGTTCAAAACAGGCAAAACCAATGAAGACTTGAGTAGTTGTTACTGAGACAAGCTCCTTTTTGCTTTTTGTGTGTCTGCTTTACTTAAACAGTAATGTTTATTTAAAAATACAAAGACAGATAAGTTATAGATTGTCCCCTCTGTGGGACAATCTGTTATCCAAGTGGTAAGTCTGTATAGTGCACATGGACTTCCCAACTCCTGACCAAGGTGCTCCTTCATAAAATGGAAATTCAGCCAGGCTCGGTGGCTCAGCCTGTAATCCCATGCCTTTGGGAGGCTGAGGTGAGTGGACTGCCTGAGCCCACGGGTTCATGACGCGCCGGGGCAACTTGGCGAGACCTCATCTCTACAATAAATCAAAAATTAGCTGGGCGTGGTAGCGTGTGCCTGTAGTTCCAGCTACCTGGAAGGCTGAGGCGGAAGGATCGCCGGAGCCCAGCAGGTCGAGGCTGCGGTGGCCGGGAGCAGCCACTGCACTCCAGTCTGGGAGATAGAGTGAGACTCCAACTCAAAAAAAAAAAGGAAATTCAGCTGAGAGGGAGACCAGAGAACCTGTGTCTTAGCAGTTCTTTTTAAATGCCGGGCTCGGTGGCTCAGCCTGTAATCCCGCGCCTTTGGGAGGCTGAGGTGAGTGGATTACCTGAGCCCGCAGGCTCGAGACCCGCCTGGGCTGCGAGACCTCATCTCTACAATAAATCAAAAAATGAGCCGGGCGTGGTAGCGCGCGCCTGTAATTCCGGCTACTCGGAAGGCTGAGGCGGAAGGATCGCCGGAGCCCAGCAGGTCGAGGCTGCGGTGGCCGGGAGCGGCCACTGCACTCCAGTCTGGGTGACAGAGTGAGACTCCAACTCAAAAAAACAAAACAAAAAAATAAATAAATAAATATCTTGTGGAGCATTCCCCTGCATTTAAAAGTTTCATTTGTTAGAATTATTTATGTGCAATGTGGTTGTTATATGAAATTCACCTAGAAAGAAATCATAGCCAATTCATTGTTTAGCCTCTAAATGCTTGGATAGAGGAAGCATATATGAATATGTTCAAAATCTTTCAAAGGTTAAGGCCATCCCATGAGGGTATCAGAGAGGCAAAATTACAAAGAATTGAATTCTCTCAACTGGATTGCTGAAGCTCTTATGTGAGCTCTTTCTTTTCCTTCCTTAAAAATAAATAAATAAATAAATGAAAACCCGGGGCATGACAACAGGAGTAGCAGTTTCCAGTCTGTTGAAGTCCTTTGCTTCCGGGACCGCACCATGCAGGGGGCGAGAGACGTTGCCCACAGCATCATCTTCGAAGTGAAGCTTCCAGAAATGGCATTTAGCCCAGGTAATTTGCTGGTCTTTGAGAATGCATATAATTATCATTTATCAGAAACTGAATCAGGTTTACTTTCTTTTCATCACTTCACAATGGTAGCCAAAGGGAGAGAAAGGAACAACTCCTACCATTTTACCCTTGTGAACACCTACTTTGAACAGAGGGCATGCTCTCCTATTCAGACTGGAACAAAGGCAAAGGTTGTCACCAGAAATTTTCTCCAGGCAGTTTTTTCAGTCTTGAGGATTTTTCCCTCTAGTTTTCATTTTTGTTTAACAAAATCTTTATTTCTGTCTGTTCTTAAAGGACAGATGAAATATTAATGTGCTTACATATTTGTTTGTTATATGCTTAAAGATGTGCATGATCTTATTGTATAGTAGACCAGATAGCAAAAATGCCATTTCTCCTCCACATTTAATATTTTCTTTTCACCAGGGCAGTGGCTCATGCCTGTAAGGGGGCCGAGCTGTGAGGATCGCATGAGTTCAGGAGTTTGAGGTCATACTGGGCAACACAGCGAGACCTTGTCTCTACAAAAATAAAAAAAGGCCAGCCTTGATGGCTCAGCCTGAAATCCCAGCACTTTGGGAGACTGAGGCGAATAGATTGCCTGAGCCCATGGGTTCAAGACTAGCCTGGGCAACTTGGCGAGACCTCATCTCTACAATAAATAAAAAACTAGCCAGGCGTGGT